CATCCATCCATCCATCCATCCATCCATCCATCCATCCATCTGTCCCTCCATTTCTTCATCCATCCATCCATCCATCCATCCATCCATCCATCCATCCATCCGTCCATCCATCCATCTGTCCCTCCATTTCTCCATCCATCCATCCATCCATCCATCCATCCATCCATCCATCCATCCATCCCATCTTCCTTTTCCCACCCTCTCACACATTCATTCTCTCCTAATTCATTTGCCCTCCTGTTCATTCATTCATTTACTCATTCAGTCACTATCACGCAAACCTTTAGTAAATGCTGGTGGGAGGTGCACAATGGGGAGGATGGGTGAGCTGGCTTGGGTTTTCCCCTCCTGCCAGCCAGGTCTATACTCAGAGGGGCAGCAGAACTGCTGGCCAGGAGCTGGCCCTCTTTGGCTGCCATCAGGGGAAGATGGTAGAAGGGGCTGTACCTGGTACATGAGTGCTGTGGCCTGTCTCCCAGGTTGGAGGGCAGGAGCCTTGCTGGCTCTGCCAGTGCTCCATTTTGCGTGTCCCTTGGGGCTCATGGAGGGACAGTGGCCTCTCCCCTCCTGTAAGGTGGCTCCTGAAGTAAGAATTCTCAGGCTTGCAGTAGGCTCTCTGCCTTCCTGGGGTTTGCTGCTGGTATGAAGGCTGAGTAGAGGAAGCCAAGGCAAACATGGATTTCCCACGGGCACAGAGGGTGGTGAGGCCCGCCTACGAGGGTCAGCGGGATGGCCCTGGATTCCAGACCTCTGCTTGTCCTCAGGGCCCTCATGGCCCAGAGCGGAGGGACTCCAGAAGGCAGGCAGGGTGTGTGTTGGGGGGCAGAGAGCCCAGGCCCTGTGCTGGAAGGCAGCTGGCAAGCCTGGATATGGAGCTGAGGTGCAAAGAGGAGGGAACCCAGGGTGCTCACAGCTTCTCAGTGCAGAGAGCAGGAAGCAGGGAGACAGGCCAGTGCAGGCTGCTTCAAGGACACACGCAGGATGGGTGACTGGTAGAAAGCAGGGCTGGGGCCAGGGTAGTGGCCAAGAGGGGCCGTCAGGGACACCAGGTTTCTGCTCCAATGTCTCAGGGAAAGCTGCCACTGAGTGGTGGCTGAGCCCTGAGATACATGGGACTCCACTGCAGCCGAGCTCTCTGTTGCTGTAGGGGACGACCGCAGCCTGTCCAGCTCCTCCTCTGAGGCCAGCCACTCAGACATCAGCGCCAGCAGCCGGCTCACCACGTGGCCTGAGCAGTTCTCGTCCTCAGTCAGCACTTCACAGGAGGGCCTGGGGCTGGCGGCAGCCCAGGCCCCAGGGGAGGCCGTGCTGAGCACCTCGAGACTGCCCCCCAAGCCGCTGAGGCCCCGACAGCTGCAGGAAGTCGGCCGCCAGAGCTCTTCGGACAGTGGCATTGCCACAGGCAGCCACTCCTCCTACTCGGGCAGCTTCTCATCCTATGCAGGCAGCAGCTTGGACATGTGGCAGGCTGCTGAGGACTTTGGCTCGCTGCTCAGCCTGCCACTGCCAGCGGCCGGGGCACCTGAGCCCAGCCTGTGCGCCTGCCCACCCGGGGCAGCCGAGTACCAGGTGCCCACGTCTCGTCGGCCGCACTATGACACGCCCCGCAGCCTGCGCCCAGCACCTGGGGACCAGAGCCTGCCTTCCTGGGGTGGCCCAGACCAGGGCACCACAACAGAGCTGGGAAGCCAGATATCTGGGGGCTGCCCTTCTGGCTGGCTGGGCACGAAACGTCTGGGACAGGCGACAGAGGCCCCAGGCAGTGAGGCCACACAGGCCAGCCCCACCCCTGCTGAGCCCTGGGAAGCCAGCAGCCCCCATGCTGGGCCGCCTCCCGCTTTCTTTTCAGCCTGTCCACTCTGTGGCGGACTCAAGGTAAAGTCTCCTCCCTGAGATGGCCACCCTGGCTGCATTGCTGCCAGGGGCTGGGGTTTTGCCCCTTGGACGGGAGACCAGGGCCCACCGGCCCCTTTGCAGAGGGCTGCTCTGTGTGTGTTTCTGGGACCCACCCCCAGCCAGTGGAGAGGGTCTGGGGTGGGGCAATGACAGAGGGCCCCCATGGAGGACATGATGGCTGCTAGTGGAGGGAATGGTCCAGGGCTGTGTGCTCTGGACAGTTGGGTGCTCAGGCCCAGTTTTTCCAGCTTTGTCTTCTTACCTGAAGGTCAGGCACTGAAGGCTTGCACTGGGGTGCTGGGGCAGAAGCCCCTGCAGGCCGGGCCAGGTCTCAGTGCAGCTCACCCTGGTCCACTGCCCACTTCTAAATGCCCCAAGCCTCCATCTCCTTCCATGAATGGTGAGTCCCAGCAGCAGCCTTGGGTGCCCCAGGTCCAGGGGCCCCTGGCTCGGCAGAGCCCCAGCCACCGTCTGTACCATTGGCTGTGCATGCCTACCCGCAGCACCCACAGTGGGGCTAGGCCTCCTGTCTGTGTGGAGGAAACTGACGCTCAGGAGGCCCCATGATTCGGGGGTCTGCATCCCTGTGACTGGGACCCCACTGCGCCCTCGCACCAGCCTTTTCCTGCAGGGAGGGGTGAAGGTAAAGGGGAATCTTTCCCCAGGCCCAGGCTCGGCCTGCCCAGGGTCCCCTCCACCTCCTCCTGCACCTTCTTGCTGGTACCAGGAAGCTGGTGTCAGGAGTAGTGGAGGAAGTTGGGGCTCGCTGGGCTCCCAGGATACCCAGAGCCTCCAGACCCCCTCCCGGGTCTGTGCTCCTGTGTGGCGCTGCATAGGGCCATTCTCGCCAGCATCAGAGGCTGGCTGTGTCCGGCCCTCCTGTACCCCTGTGGCCCAGTGGCCAACCTGGCCGGGTCCCTGTGAATACCTGGCCTTGCACCTGCACTGTCGACCAACCGTGTCGTTGCTCTGCTCTATTTTTAAAATCTAACAGTTTGTAATACGTTCTCAGACTGGAAATAAAGTTTTCTTTTCATACTGCCGTGTCCTTTCCATGTGGCCAGCCTTCTTACCTCCCTGCCATGGTCCTGCTATGGGGTTGTAACCAGGACTGAGGTCCAGGGCTGCAGCCTAGGCCTGGGGTGTGTGCATGTGTACACATGTGTGTGCATGTGTGTGCATGCGTGTGTGCGCGCGTGTGCCTGGTCAGCGGCATAGGCCCTGGCTCTGGGCCTGGACCTCGTGCTCCCACCTGCCTCTTCTGAGTCCTGGGCAGCTGGGTCAGTTGTCTTCACAGCCACTGGGGCCCAGAGCTCCTACGACACTGTCATGCAGGGAGGGCAGGCTTCAGGCTTGAGCTTGAGCCACATCCCCCCCTTGCTGGCTGAGGGGCCCACAAGTCACAACACCTCTCTGAGCCTCAGTTTCCTCTTCCACATGGGGTGGCCACGGGTCTGATGTGTGCTGGTGGGAGTTGTCCCAGGACAGCTTCCTGTACAAGAAGTAGGGAGCTGACCAGGGCCCCCTTCCTCACAGTCTCTCACCACTGTGCTTCCTGGGGTCGCTATCTGCAGCAGGCAGGAAAGGACACCCAGTTAGGGGTAGGGGAGGAGCCAGGTTGTGGGGTCCTGTGTCCACCCTTGTTCTGGCGGCAGGACCTGGACAGTGGAGGGTCATGGTAACTCACATAATGGGTGAGTCAGGAGAAGGGCCTGGGCCCCACAGCCAGCATGCTCCGTGTCCCTCGGGCCCCTGGAGGCCCGAGGTATGGGGTGGGCTCTTCCAACGTTCTTTATCCAGGGACAGTGGGGACCATGTCCTTCATCCACTCTCTTCCTAGCATGGCCTGATGGCCCGGGCTTGCCGAGTGTCTCAGCCCAGCCTCCGCAGTGCCTCTGTGCTGGCCTGGGTGTGGGGAGCTGGAGGCTGTGTGTGTTTGGGCTGCTCTGTGGCATCCACCCACAACCAGGGGGTGATGCGGCCTGGCACAGTGGGCCTTCCTGCCAGCTGAGGACATTACCCCTGCTGGAGGGCCGTGGGGTAGGCGGGTGGGCGGCTGCCTGTGCAGAGCCCCTCGAGGCCAAGAGGTCCACTGTCTGGTGGGTGTTGGGTGTTTGCCTCATGTCCCACCTGGGTCCTGGTGCCTGCAAGGGCTATGGTGTGGTCAGAATACCTGGCTGGCTTGGGGGTGCCCCACTCTCTTGGGTCCCAGCCTGGGACCCTAAATGGCTCCTCAAACCTGGTCTGGATCAGAGGTGGTGCCACATCCCCTCTCCAGCCTCCCAGGCTCCTACGAGGCCCACCTGCCAGGTTCTCTCACAGGAGCTTGGGGCTCCTGACACCCATGGGCCTGTCACCAAAGTGGACCTAGGGTGTCTATAGACCCAGGAGGGCCAGCTGGCACTGCCTCCCTCCCTGGCCTGCCTGCACACCTCCCCTGAGCTCTTTCCCTACCCAGGCACTGCCCACAGTGGCTGGAAGAGGCCACTGTACACGGTGGTGACTGCCACCCCCTCTGGGCTCCCATGCTTTTTAGAGCAAGGCCACTGTGCAGAGGGCCACAAATACTTTAGGCCTTGACTATGTTGCAGTGGGCCCGCATTCCAACAAAGCCACTGGCAAACGTGCGACAGGAATGAGGCCTTGTGTTCCTGAGTGTGCCCAGCAGCCCAGGTCACACTCAGGCTGCAGGTGCTGAGCTGAGCTCCTGGACACGGCCCGGGTAACGGTGCTGTCCTCAGGCTGCTTTGCCCCGTGGGGGTGCAGGGGCAGTGCAGGGGCCGTGGAGCAGCCGTGCTAACCCGTGTTCTCTTTGGTCTAGGGCGCAGCAGCCTCACCCACAGGACTCGCCCTGGCACATCCAGGTAGGCCCCGCGCTAAGCCTGTCTGTGGTCTGGGCTGAGAGCTGGGCAGTGGGGTGGGCAGTGGGCTCTGGGGCACTTGGTTCCACTCTAGACACCCCCTGCCTGCCCTTTAGCCAATGGATGTCCCACTCCTGGGCCAGTGTGTCCAGGTGTGGGTGAGACAGAGAGGTGGAGTGGTTTAGCCTGTCCCAGTCAGGGGTTGTCAGCATCCTCAGGGGCCAGGGGCCAGGCCCTGTTGTGGGAGGTCATCCTAGGCCCCAGCTAGGCAGATGGAGGAGGACAGCCCATTGCTTTTAGTGTACTGGAAAGGTAGGCAGCCCCACCGATCTGGCTCCCTTGGGCTCTGCCCCAAGGGACCCAGGAGCTTGGGTCTCTGCCTCATTCTTCCCACTGGGAGCAAGTAGGGAATGAGCCCCACCCCAGCCTTGCTGGGAGCAGTAGAAGGGGAGAAGACTGGCTTCCAGTGCACGTGGGCTGTGGGGCCTGAGGGCCTACCTCAGGGACATGCGGGGGTGGGGGGGGAGGCTCCCGGGCAGGGACTGAAGAGCCAGAACCCGCCCTGGGGCTGAGGCTCTGAATTGTGGGACCAAGCATGACTCCCCCTGCTTAGCTGTGTCTCTAGGCCCTCAGGAACTGGGGACAAGGGAGTGACAGGGGCTGGGGGGGGGGGTCTAAGGCCCAAGGGAAGTGCAGGGTGCTAGGAGGGGCTGCAGGAGCTCCTTGCAGACCAGACCAGGGTCAGCACAGCTCTCGACACCTCCTGGGGACTCACAGCCCCTCCCTCACAGGATCTCCAGGGCCGGGGTCTCCCGAGACGCCCACCTACGTGAACATCCCCGTCAGCCCCTCGTCCCGGCAGCAGCTGCACTACATGGGGCTGGACCTCCAGCAGGGCAGCACAGGCATCCGAGGTGGGCATAGGGGCCCTGCCCAGCTGGGGCCCATCTTGCTGTTTGCTTGCCACCCTCTGAGCGTGTTCTGGGGGACCGGGGTGAGGGATGGAGTGTCTCAGGTGGGGCTGGGAAGCAGGGTGGTGGCTCCCAGAGGGCTGCTCCACTCACCCCAGGCTGCCTGCAGGGGCCAGTGCCTCCCGCTATGCACAGATCGACATCACAGCCACAGAGGCGGCACAGCGGGCTGGGGCCCAGCATGCCCAGGAGCGGCTATCCGAGCTGCAGCAGCGCAAGAGGGGCACCCCACAGTGAAGCCCACGCTGGGAGCAGTGACCTCTGGAGGTGTTCTGCCGAGGTTGTGACGGGCGTCCAGCTGCAGGGATGTACCCTTGCCCCCAGTCCCCAGAGGGAGTGCGTGGAAGGCCCTGGGCCACGCAGGCTCCTCCCAGCGAGAGAACCCTGTGCAACCCGGGCTCCTCTTTGCCTGCTGTCCCTGAGAGGGCCCACCCTCAGGTGTTACTTGGGCTGTGGCCACCGGGTGAATCTGGACCACATGTGGAGGCCTAGGGTGCAGCTGCCCTCCCATCTGAGTGACAGGACAGCACAGACCATGCTGCGGCCTAGAGGACTAAGAACCTCCAGACGCAGTGGCAGACTGAGGCAGAGCTGGGCCCTGCCCCACCGTCCACAGCCTCTGCTCCAGGCCTGGGACACACTGCCTGGCTCTAGCCTGGGCCTGTCCTCTCTGCCACTCCAGGGTCCCATCTTGCAGGCCATGGCACCCTGGCCCTGGACTGAGGTGGCGGGGGACAGAAGGCCTGTGGCCCTTGGCAGCACGTGCATGACCTTGCTGTGCTCACCCCTGTGCTGCTCAGGACTGCAGCCAATGCAGGGTGGGAACCGTCATTGTGCATTAGAGCAATGAAGGGCACCTTCCTGAAGGCCTGCGGCTCTCATTCTTGTGTGCTCTGCCCCAGACTTCACCTGACATCTTGCTGCTGAGTTGGGGGGCCCAGGAAGGAGGCATCCTTGGTGATCCAGCTTGGGGTTCCCACCCAAGGCCTTTGTGGGCTTCCCTCCTCACTTAGAGCTGCTGGGGTGTTTTGAGGGGTCAGAGGCTCTGCCCACCTTCACCCCCGTCCCGAGCTCCCCAGCACCCTGTGGGTCTGTGCTGAGCTGCCCACGGGGACCCAGTGCAGCTGAGCCTGCAGTCCTGGTGGAGAGCCCCCTGGCCTCTCCCCCTCCTGAGCAGCTGTGGCCCTGATGAGCAAAGCAGACTGCAGGAGAGGTCAAGGTGCTGAGGGACAGTCACTGCTGGAGACAGCCTGGAGGGACTCTAGACCCCGCTTATGTTCTGAGTGTGGGCAGAGCGTGGCCATTGTGCTTGTCCAGGGGCCAGCCGCCTCTCCAGGTTGTCACAAGGAGGTCCAGGGACATGGACTCCAGCAGAGGGGCACGAGAGTGGGGCCAGGCTGTCTTGGTGGGGACTGCTCTGCTCATTGCAGGCCACTGCCTAGTCCGGTAGCCATGGAGGCGGGGATGTCTCCTCAAAAGCAGAGCCGCTGGGGGGCGGCAGGATCATGTGCATCACCTGTTGGCTCATCTGCAAAGCTGCCGGGCCGTGCAGTACTCCGTATGTGCTGAGGTCTCTGGGACCCTGGCCTTCAGCTCCAGCCTGGGCAGGCCTCCCCTGGCCGGCTGTGTCACCATGTTCTTCTGGCCATGATGCCCACTCGGCTGCCCTCCCATCTCTCCACCTTGATGCTGTGGCCCTGCCTTCCTGGGGTTGGAGCAGGAGCTCAGCCAGGCTCTCTCCCCACGCCTGAGCTACAGGATGACTGTGTGCCCAGGATGGGGAGCTACACACTCAGATCCAAGGAATAAGGCTGTGGCTGGGTGCACCTTGGGGCTCTGAGCGCCTGGACCTCAGGCACCACTAAAGCAAAGATGCCCAAGTGGCTGGTGCTGGGAAGCAGATGTGAGCCTCCTAGAAGCTGCCACCAGGCGGGGACAGTGTAGGAGGGTGGAGCTGCACCTCGCTGATTTGCCTACAGTTTTGCCAAATTCCATGTTTCTAATTGGATGTGCATGTACAGCACCAGAGCGTGGGCAGGTCTCAAAGTTTAGGTGGGTGTCACTTCTGCTACGGGGTGAGTGTACAGTGACAGCTGAGGCTTTATTCCACCTCCCTCTGATGTGAGGCCTTGAACGCTTTTCGAGGTTGTGGACATGTAGGCTTGCCTGACCGTGGGGCTGCTCCCCTTGTAATCTGCATCCTCTACCGTCATCTCCCGCAGCTGAGGAGATGCTGATGTTGGCATCCTTGTCCTCAAGGTCAGCGCCCGCTGCCCCGGGCCCTGCAGTTGCTGTCAACTGTTTTGAGATGTCTGGGTTCTGTTCACAGATCTCTCCAGGGACCCCACACCCTGGCACAGCCTGGCATGGCTGCTAGGTTGGCTCTGACGCTGACCATGGTAGACTCCAGCGATCCCACTGAAGTGTGAGCAAGGTCACGCACGGGTGGTGGGAAAGGACGAGGAATGCACATTTGAAAAATTTCGGTGAAAGGCAGGTGCCATCAATCCCCCTCACAATCCTCCTCCTCGACTGGAACATAGCGCACTGTGTGCTCACTTCCTGGGCCAGCTCTGGAGTCCTCTCCTGCATGACGTTACAAGGTGTGACGAAAAACACGGAAGGGGGCTGCTGCCCAGTGAGCGTCACAGCGCCTGCACCGGGCGGCTGCTGGTGCTTCCCCAAGGTCAAAAGGACTGGGAAAAGGAAGCATCTGGGATGAGTCAGGACACTGAAGCCACGGGGACGGCACGACTGAAAGCACGAGCAAAAGCAGGCTCCAGAAAGCGAGCAGAATGGTGGATCAGTGCGCGCCGGCAGAGAACTTTGAGGGGATTTGTGGCTGTGTCACTTGCTGGAATAAATGCTGAAGGACACAAGCACTCTGCCATCGCGTTCCCTTCCCGGGGCTCTGGTTTTCCCCTGGAGTGCGCTTTTCCCTCTGCTGTCCGTCCCAGTAGGCGGCCAGCTCCTCCACGGGTGCGGAGCTTCCCCCACGCCGCCGCATCACAGCTGCCATACGGCTGGCTTCTGAGTCTTCTAGAAGCATCTGGCGTCCCACACCCAGGTCTGGGCCCCACCGTGCCCCTCTTGGGTTGGGGCCCTTTGTCAGCGGTCCTGTCTTTCTTCATTCATTTTTAAGGAGTGCTTTCTCCAGCTGCAATCGAAAGGGGCCGAATCTGAGGCGGCCACGCTCCAGAACAGCGGCTACCCTCCTCCCCACGGGGGCACGAGGGCAGTCCCGCGCAGCTGATTTCCCGCCAGCACTCAGCGGCCACTGCTGGGCCAGCCGCTGCCCCGTGGCCCAGACTGTGACAGCCATCCTCTCTCCTCAGCCTCCACTGCTCCTAGGCGTTGCAGCTCTCACCAGTGCCCTCCTCACAGTGGCCCCTTTCATTATGAGGCTTCCGTGGCTCGGGCAGCTTCCCCACTCCCGCCTCCTGTGCTCTCTGGGGCCCTACACTTCCATTTCTGAACTTGGTCTCCCGTACTAAGGAGCCAACCCTGGGGTCCCCTGCCTCTAAGCTGCATTCAAAAGTCTCTTTAATAATGTCACCTGCTTTCATCACATACTGGAACAGATTCCCTTGATGAATGCGATCATTGTGTGTACCTAGGCTGTACCAGCCAGCTTCATTAAAAACATTTGAGCTAGGATCTTGCTAAGCTGCCCAGGCTGGCCTTGTACTTGTGATCCTCCCTCAGCTTCTGGAATAGCTTGGATTACAGAGGTCACCATTCCTCTGTGTGTCCACCTCTTCTGTGGCTCTCTGATTTCATTACCTTCTTCCCTGAGCTTACTTTTACTTGCAGCTAAGGCCTTGGGTTCAAAGCTCAGCCCCACACGCGTGCACGCACACAAGACACGTGCACACAGGACCTGCGGCAACCCACCACCAAACCCCCTGCAGGCTTGTCTGGGAAAAATTGAGAAGCAGATACGAAGACGTGTGTAAACACAAAGCTGTTGACAGCAGAGTCCAAGTACAGGAAAGTAAACGTGGCCTGATCTCCAGCCTCACACAGAGCCACCGAGTAGGGACACTGTCAAGCACGAAGGACAAATGGACAGGACCGGGCCTATGCCACGGAATGTCTGAGAACAGGTGTGACACTGAATCAGGAGTTGGCGAGACGGCAACAGAAGGAAGGGCACCGGCACGAGGGCCTGAGGTCTGCAGGCTGCTGGACAGCTAACTTGCTATGAACTGGATGGCAGGATGGAAAGGGGGAGGCTGCAGGGATGCGCACAGAAGGGACCCCACGCTCCCTGCAGCAGCGGGGATGGGCCTGGTCACACACACACACACACACACACACACACACACACACACACACACACAGAGCCCCATGATACTCAAGAGCAGGGAAACCGAGCCAGAGCGCGGAGTCAGAACCTGGCTGCTGGGGGTTGGCTCTGTGGGGTGGGGCTGCATGACAGCTCCCACTGACCGAGTGTGCAGACTCCCTCCTCTCCCTGTGCGCAGGTAAAAGTGCCCCCACTGAGCCCAGCGGCAGCCTGTGTACCAGCGCGGCCATGAGCCAGCCTGCGCCCTGCACCTCGCTGCTGCTGTGGGAACCGTAGCTGCTCTGGGAGTGTGTGCCTTCATTCTCCAAGTAACACACGCAGACCCAGCACCCGTCAGGCCCAGGGGCCAGAAAACGTGCACTCCAGCCCCAGCTACTTCCAAGGCTGGGTGCTAAGGTTTGGACCAAAACGTCCTCCAAAGGCTTGGGTGCCCATGAGGGGCTTCTGGAAGGGACCAGAGCACGGGTGCTGTGCTCCCCAGTGGCCTCATCGTGGATGAGCTCACGGCTGATTGCTGGAAGCAGGGCCTGCCTGGAGGGGACACGGTGCGTGACCTGGCGCAGTGTTCCTCTCCTGTGCCGTCCCCATCTCAGAGCCAGCTGGCCATGGGCTGAGCCAATGGACGCCAGGTATTGTTAGAGCACCTAAAGTAGACTAATACTGTGAGTGCTGCTGGTTATTGCTGGAGTGGAAACTCCAATATCTACCAACAATAGAATAGATGGCAAAGTGTGGTACTGTACATTCACGCTGTGGAAAACCTCACAGCAACAAAACCAGACACTTCCGCTCAGCAACATGGTTGGCACAGAGCATGACAGTGAGAGCTAGACACCACAGACGGACCCTCACCAGCATGGCCCACTGCCAGCCAAGGCAGTGCTGAGCTCCGGTGGAGGGGGCTGCAACAGTGATCAACCCTGCTTCCACCAAGCCTGTGGCTCCCCCAGCACTCGCTCTAGGTGGCTCTGGACTGCACACGTGCTTCGTGTGTGTCCACAAATGCACACCTCACTTCAGTGCATGGCCTCAGCGTCCGCAGGGCGCAGCACAGCCCTGGGCTCCACACTGGAGCTGCTTGTTTCTCATGGCCACACCGAAGGCCAGGAGCTCCTTCTGTGGTCAGCCCCTGCCTGGGGGCCGGCCCTGCACCGATGCCCGGGACTGAGTCCCAGAAGTCCATGCTCTGCACATCGGGGTACATGCTGGGGGACACCCTGGCAGACTTAAGCTGCAGCAGACAGCACGCAGGTGAAGCCACCCACTTCCTGAGTCCCTCAGCTGGAGGACCCCGCCACACCCCACCACCTCTGCCCCAACCGGTGAGCTTCCAGCATGCGGCCGGCATCGTGGTTTCTATTCAGGGACAACAAGCCGCTGGCGTCAGGCACACCTTGGCTTTCGGACATCCAGCTGCTGGCAAACCTAGCGCACCTGGTCCAGCGGCTTCCAGGTCCCACCGCGGGAGCTGTGTTCTGGTCTCCAACCTGCACAAGGCCAGTAGTCCCCTTGGCATCAGAGAAACATCCTGGAGGCCCCTCTCCCCTGCGGCCCAGAAGTCTCCCCAGCCCCTGGAGCTGCAGAGCAGGGCAGGAAGCACCTAAGGGTGCGGGGCTAAGGCAGGCCAGGCTGTGGCACTGGGATGGGTGGGGACTGCAGAGCCCTGGGGACAGCAGGGAGGGTGGCAGGCTAGCTCCAGAAAGGGTGGCTCCAACTATGAGACCAGACAAATGACAATGGTCAGAGACTGTCATGTGTTTACAAGCTCTATGTAACATTTCCAGTGGCAAATTGCAGGGCTGTGACACACACTGTCCAGAGGATTATCACACTCAATGGCAGTTGGACCTCAAGGTCCCCATGGGGTGGTGACAACTGTCTGCTTCAGAGCACAGGAACCACATCAGCCTCAGGTGGGACCAGTTCACAGTCTGAGATGCATGTGACGAGCACATGGAGGGCTCTTCTTGGATGTGGTGCCGTGCCCAGGCCGGCACATCGCAGGGCGTCCACACAGACGACACCAGGAGAGCCTGCGCCCTCTGCTACGGCCCCAGCAGCAGTGCCTGCCTCAGAGCTCGTTGTGCCGCGCCCTGGAGACCCTGCTGGACAGGTCCTGTAGATGTTTCCTCACCTGTAGGCGACGGGGACACTGGTCAGCTAGGGACAACACGGCCAGCACAGCCCCGCTGCTGCCGTCACTACTGCATCCCCACAGAACTCGTCACAATACTATCAGCCAGTGGACAGGAAGGCCACCTGCAGGGGCCCCAGCCACCCCTGGCCATGGGGAACAATGCCCCATCAGCTGAGCCCCAGGGTCAGAGGTCACCAAGGGCAGGACTGGCAGTGAGCCCCAAGCCCCAGCCGCCATCCTGAACATCAGGGCTCAGAGCAGTTGGCCTGGGCACAGCTGGCACCTCAGTGGGCCCTGCTGGGATGTCCCCTGGGGTCCTTGGTGTCCCGTGACGTTGGGTTGGAGGTGATGCCTCTCCCTTCCCCTGCAGACACCCACAGCTGGGGGACATGAGGCCTCCAAGCACTTGGCAGCCAGCCCCTGGCCCAGCCACTGCCCTAGGGGTAGCGACGCGGCTGCTGTGAGTGCGGTACTCCTCTGCAGAACACCCTGCCCAGGCCCAGCCTGGGGCCCACCTTGTAGCCCAGCTCCTTGGTCTTCTCCTCCAGCAGCGCGTACTTCTCCCTGTTGCGGCTGACGTGCTCCTGGTCGCCCACACGTTCCACATGCCTCAGCTTCTCGTGCGAGATTTCCAGCTGCTTCTGGTAGTGGTTGTGCTTCTCAATCTTGGCCTCGAAGTGCTTGAGCTCCTCCTGGAAGGTGCCTGGCACCTCAGTCTCCTTCACACAGCCTCTGGGGCCCAGGCCCGTGCCCCCAGCTGGTGGCCCTGGAGGACCGTTGTGCACACCCTGGGCACCCAGGCCGCCCCTTTCTTCTTGCCGCATTCACCCACGCTGGCCGCTGGCTGGGACCGGGAGTTGCACCCCTACCATGTGGCTTCCATCCTGGCCCTGGCCCTCGTGCAGGACGACTGCAGGCTCTAGGGTACCCATGGCGACCTCTGACCCCCCCACCTAGACATGAGCCCAGCTCCTGGCATCACCCCGGCCCACCTCAGGAGGCTGCTGCCACCCATCGGCCTCTCAGCCCCAGCCCACGTGAGTGCTCACATGGCACACAGTGTCTAGGCCACAGGGGAGCCCCGCCCCCTCCTTCCGGCTGAGGCCCCTTCCAGAGCACAGAGGCTCCAGCTCCACGGGCCAGCCGAGGCCCACTTAGCTCCCAAGCGAGGCAGTGGCCATGGACCTCACTGCTCCTCTCCTCACCCGAGGGCTGCTGCTTCTCACAGGCTCCCGCTGAGCCCCTGCCCCTGTCTTGGCAGTCGCCAAGGCTGCACCCAGCTGGGATGGTACATGGGCCCAGTCTGTCCCACTGGGCTGTGCTCAGGGTGCCCTGGGGTCAGAGGCTGGCAGAGAAGGGCGAAGGGTCAGGATGACCGCAGGGGCTGTGTGGCTGAGATGGTGGCATCTGTGCCACCCTGGAGACTGGCAGGGGACAGTGCCCCGCAGCTTCTTACCCGGAAGGACTCCAGCTCCTTCTCAGTGAAGTTGGCAGTCTGGGCCAGGTCCCACAGGTCAATCACCCGGGGCTCCTCGAACTCTGTGAAAGAGTGGGTGCGAGCAGGTGAGGGAATAACCAGGTCCTGGAACACAGGGGCGGCTGCGTCAGCCTGGGCACCAGACACGAGGGTTGAAGGAGGTGGAGGGATGAAGGACAAAAGCCAAGGAGGTAAAGGGGGCACATCCCAGGGAAGCTGCCACCTGGGTGGCTGTGGGGTTGGGGGCTAGGAGTGGCTCACCTGCGCTGGGGCCGTAGCCCTGGTGGCTGACCTTCCGCAGGCGGTCCAGGCCCTGGTTGATGCTGCGTAGTTTCTCCTTGAGCTCACTGTGCTTGCTGGACAGGATGTCGCCCTTGTGGCTCAGGTCCACGGGGCCAATGGCATTGTTGTAGGCCTCTGCGGACACGGACAGAGCCTGGTGAGGACCCCAGCCCACACAGGACCCATGGCACCAAGGCCACCAGAGCCCCTCTGAGTGCAGCCTCAGACTACAATCTGAGAGTCTCAAAGCCCTCCTGAAAACCACATGGTAGGCCCTGGGAGGTGGGGAAGTGGCCAAGGATGGAGGATAAAGAGCTGAGGCTGACGGGATGAAAACCACCACCACGTGTGATGCGCCTGTACCAGCGTCCTGAAAACGTCTTTGTTCCCTATCACTGGCACCCTTTAAGGAAGGAGCTGCTGAGCGCACCTACAACCCTGTCAGCACTCTGCTGCAGTGAATCCAATCAGGGCCTGTATTTTAGTCAAAAAATCCAACCTTCTCCTTGAGCTGGGGAGATAGCTCAGGGGCATAAGCACGAGCCTGGCAAGGGCAAGGTCCCGAATTTGATCCCTGGTACCGCAAAACAAAAAAACCCAATCCTCTCCTCCAAGTGTCTCCCTCAGTCCCCTCTACAGCTGCTGGACAGGGATGGCTGGCCTCCAACACAAGTCAGCATGTGACAGGCACACCATGCCCAGGCACAGTGACACTGCAGAGGCCATGTCCAGGAGCCACACCCCAGGTCTGTGGTCCCCAGTGTCACCATGAAGCTCAGGAGCAAGGGTGTCCTCGGGGCCTACAGATGGCCCCTCGTCCCTTCCTTTCTGGCACTGCTTCCAGCCAACACGCACTGAGCAACTCTGTTCGCCCACGCCCCTCCACCATGGCGTCTGCCTCGGAGCAGCTGACCACGGACGGAATCCCTTGAGACTGTGAGCCAGCTCACCGCCCTTGAAATGTGGGCGCTAGGACCTGTGCCCAGAGATGGGAAAGCTGGCTGATCCACCCGCTTCCGCACTCAGATGCTCTCAGGGCCCTCCACTGGGGAGGAGGCCACACAGCCAGCCAGCAGGGACACTCGGTGTGTGGAGGTACTTCCCGACGGTGAGCAGAGCCGAGTCCCCAGTGCAGTGTCCTGAGGACCACGTGCACCTGCGTGACGCCTAGGGGTGCCTTTCCCAAGCACGGAACCAGGAACTGGAAGGAAGGCCACGGGGCCCACCGGCAGGGCCTGCTACAGCTCGCTGCCTGCCTGGCGCACCTTCCGTCCTGCTCAGCGTGTCCAGCAGCACGTTGTACTCGTCGACCTTGTCTTTGTGGTGCAGGAATTCCCGCCACAGCTTGTCCAACTCTTCAGTCGAGAACTTCCCTGAGGTCTTTGCCTGAGAGGGAGGGCAATGGGCTGAGTGCCCCGGAGCTGCCACCTGCTCAAAGGGCAGCCTGGGCCCCGCCAGGCAAGCATCCTAGGGACGGGCAAGACCTTGGCAGAGTGCAATGTGAGGTCCTGCGTGCCTCTCACATAGTCTCTGACCCGGGGAAAGTGCAAGCCCGGTGAGGTGCCCAGACTTGTAGGAGGCCGGGTGTGGTGGTGAGGACAGCAGGCCAGCTCCCCTGGGGACGTCCGGCAGCCCACACCACCCCACCTGCCCAGCTCACTCTGCACCTCCTCGCCCTCCTGACTCGCTTGCTACCACAGGACCTCGGCTAGACAGAATCCTGACTTGCGGGCCCGCGGCCGTCTGTGCCAGGCATGCTGCCCCGCCCAGATGTCTGCCACCCAAAGGAAACAGCTGGGAGGCCCAGTACCCCTCCCCCTCCCAGGCACAGCAACCACAGAGACTGCCAGACAGGCAGGCAGGCAGGCACTCCCTGCCGAGGGTGCCTTTCCTGCTATCAGATACAGGGGAAGAACACAGCCACACCTGGGCCATGGCTCAGGAAATTCACTGAGGCCCACTACAAGTCTTTTTCCCGTGGTGTCCTGGTGATTCAGCCCAGGGTCTTGCACTTCCTACACTCCCAGCATTCAATCACTCTTTAAACATGTTTTTGAGACAGGTTCTTGCTAAGTTATCTAGGATGGGCGTGAGCTTGTGATCCTCCTTCGGCCCCCTAAGTGCTAGGATTACAGGCACCCACAGGTAGTTCTACGTATATTCTTAGTATCTGCAGCTCTACCATCTATAAACTGAACTCAATTCCTCGTGGAAGAGAGCAGGAATATTCCAAGCAAGAAGGCAGGACGGTTAACAGGAGACAGCAACCACAGATGCCCGCATGCACCCGAGATGCCCCCGGCCATGCCTCTGCCCCGACACCCTCAGGACAAGGTCCAGAAGGGGACCGAGGTACCTTGTGCCACAGCTTCTCCAGCCGAGGGTCGCCCAGCCCGTCGTCCTGGGCGTCATTGGCCAGCGCATTGCTGTGTACCGCCTGAGCATCCTTCCTCCCGTCCAGCCCGTACCTGGCCAGGAGGACTGTGGGGAGTGGCCGGTGAGCCATGGTGGCAGCTCTGGGGCATGAGGCACTTTGCTCCCCGCCTTCCAGAACCTTCCCCTAGCCCACACAGGTCTAGTGGGATTGAGCCTGCACCCCAGGAGCGCTGCCTGGCAGACTGTGTCCCAGGCCAGCTGCGTGGGCCAGTGCGTGAGGACAGGAAGCCAGATGCCCGATCCCACTGTCACCGCAGGACAGGTCGGCAGTGCTAGCAGCTCAGCTCAGGGGAGGCCCCCAACCCCACATCACCCCTAAGAAGTCAGCGTCAGAGGCCGCACAGCTGCCCCCGACGCGTCAAGGCGCACCGTTGAGATTGCGGATGAGCTGGGCCTCCTTCTCCCCGTCCTCATCCAGCCCTTCCACCTTCAGCTTCTTCCAGTTGAGTTCATCTCTTTCTTGCATCTTCAGGTCAGCGTGCAGCTCAGCCAGCCTCACGGGGGAGAGATGCAGCTGCCGAGGAGGAGGACAGAGCATGTGGCTACTGGCCAGGTAACCCACGGACATGGCCGAGACTGGCCTGGTGCACAGTGGCCACCAAGAGCTCCTGGGCGACCAGGAGGAGACGGGGTTGGGTCACCCACAAGACAACGGGAAATCCCTCATGTATTCATGGATGAGCTCTCCGGGACACAGACCCCAGAAGCCACGAAGTGTGATCTGGAGATGGCTCTCTGTGTGGCGGCCATCGTGGCTGGGGGGTGATCCACCTCTGCACACGGGCACCTGGTGACCTTACCAGGAGAGTGAGGGGGGAAGGCACAGGACAGAAGACAGGTGTGGGGAGGAAGGGAGTGCCAAGGGAGCAGGCCCAGAGGGCGGGAGGTGAGCAACAGGAAACAGCAGGTGAAACTTCTCCTCTGTGGGGTTGGGACGGAGCCCAGGGCCTGGTGCATGCCAGGCAGGGGCACTACTACCAAGCCACAGCCCAGGCTCCAAGTGAAATCCTATCCCAAACCAAAGCCACCCAGAGCCGTGGCTGCCCTAGGGTTCTGGCCAGACCCAGCAGTGTGGGTGGCAGGCTGCACACCAGACACTGGAGCTCAGCCCAGCAAAGGGAAGACAACACGGATGGCCACGTGTCCTGCAAAAGTCCTGGAATTGCTGTCCCTGTGACCCATAGAGCCCTCCTCCAAATACCTTGCCTTGGAACCAAGACACTCCAGACAGGAACCAGGCCCCTCCAAGCAGGAAGGATCCACCTCTCACCTGGGCCCACCTGTGCTGCCAGGTTGGGGTCAGTTCCTTCTCAGTTATCCTGCCCCAGCCAACCCCAGGCCACTGGACCCTACTCAGTGGCACCCAGCCAGAGGAAGGCCGGCCTTGGGCTAGGTGGTACACGCCCATCATTCCAGCACTCTGGGAGCTGACACAGGAGAGTCCCCCATTCAGCTCAGTGACCTAGCAAAACTCTGTCTCAGAGTTTAAAAAAAAAAAAAAAAAGGCTGAGGATCCAGCTCAGTAAAAAGGCCTTACTGCATCCCCAGGACAGGAAGGAAGGAAAGGAGGGAGGGAGGGAGAGGGGAGGGAAGGTGGGAGGGGAGGGAAGGAGGGAGGGGAGGGAAGGAGGGAGGGGGGAAAGAGACAGACAGAGGTGACATTTTGTGGTCGTCTTCTAAGGCCTGACAAGTGTTGCCACCCTGACGACAGATTGGAGTGGCGAGAAGGCAGCAGAGGGAGAGATGCAGGCCATAGCATTGTCAACTCTGGCTTTCGGTTCTGACCAGCTACTGACAAGCTACAGCCTGGGTGAAGCCCAGAGTGTCACTGTGTCACTCCAGGGCTCACAGAGGCATGGCGCTGTGGGTAGCCAGGGGCAAAGCTGCACAGCACCCCCTGGTGCTGCCAGCGTGGTGACGAACTCTGGGAAGTCCAGCAGCAGAGGCCCCAGCGTGGCAGGGGCCCTCAGCTCCCAGACGCGCCCGAACCCAGCCGTCCCCATTCTGAGGCCACACCGCTCGGCCAAAGCCACGCTTCCTGGGTCCCTAGGACGCCAGCTGCAGGGGCGCTGCCCAGACCGAGCCCACCTCCGCGCTGGTCTGCATCCACTGTTCGATACAACACTGCTCTCCCTTAGGGGAGCACCATGCCACCTCCCGCAGGTGCTTTCCATGTAAACTGATAGGTTCTGGCCCTAGTACGAACTGTTGAATTATTATGGTAGTCATCTAATATAACTGAAACTCCTACAAGAAGTTTATCTTCCTAGAGACCCCTTCTCCCTTCTGCTCTAGCCCAGCACAGGGTGCAATTTCCTTTCACCTTTCCCACCGCAGCAGGGAGGACCCCAGCCAGCTCCCCAGCTGTTTCTACACATCCCCCTCCAACCCCACCCCGGCAAAGCCCATAAAAGCCTCAGCTTTCTGTCTCAGGCCAGAGGATCGCTCTGCCCCACTTGCCCTGGATCTTCCCCGAGTCTTAGGAGTTAATAAAGGCTTCTTTTATCTCTCCACTGCGCTGCTGAAAACTCCATCATGAACAACAGAAGCACAAATGCTAAGCAGGCTCTGCATGCGGCTGTCGAGCCCAGTACAGGAGGCCTTTCCTGCCTCACACCCACCCCAGGACCCCTGCCCTCCCATGTCACCAGCACGCTGGGGTCCATCGCCCTGACCTGCCCACACCCAGACCAGGCCCAGCCCTGACCACTAAGGGCCTGAACAAAATCCACAACCAGGCAGGGCACTTGCCATGTGCCCTGTCCTCAGCTAAGCACGGACCCTTGGTGCCCAGCCAGGCGGAACGGGCTCAGGCGAGCTCCCACGGTAAGGTCACCGCCAGCAGGCCCCACAGGCAGTGGCTGGCAGGGTGCTCATCCTCCAGGTGCTTCTCTGGCCTCTCCTCGCCCACCACAGCTCAGCCCCACCTCCTGGTACAGACCTCCTGGGGACCCGGCTCCAGGCTCCTGGGCTGAACTGGTCAGGTGGCCCCGACACGCCCTCACTGGGGCTACCCCCAACCCAGGACACTCATCTGCAGAGCTCTCAGGAGCCCTGGGCGGGCCCAGAATGATGCCGCCACACCTGTCTCCACTGGGGATGCCCTGAAGGCAGGGACCAGGCCTTGGGCAGCGGGTAGAGTTGAGTCAGGAAGCACGAGCCTCCAGACACATCCTGCCTGCCAGCAGGAAGCCCAGCAACCTGCTTCGGGGTGCTGAGACCCAGAGCACCCAACCTGCTTCCCACGGGCAGGTGCTGGCTGCCTAGCCCGAGGACACCCTGAGGACCCTGGGCCTCAGACAAGCCCTGCCTCACAGTCCTTCCTCCAGGCTCAAGCTCGCGTGCTCCCCCAGGACCTGTGGCCTCCACTCTCCCTCACCCTGACCACCTGACCCTCTGTTCCCCTTTCCTCTCCCCAGGGCCCGGGGCAACCTGGGCAACACAGGAAGGAGCCTCCTGAACTGCTGAAACGACGCCATAAGCATGTGCCACCATCCTGTCTCCCACACCACCAACCCTGCGATCCCCGGCCATGGGGTCCACACTGCACACCACGCCCCACATCTGTTCACCGTCCATGACGAGCACTCAGAGCTGAGGGTCAGCAGCTGCCAGCCGCACGCAGCAGGGAGGACAAGCAGGTTCACATACTCACACACTCAGACACACCTGCCGCTAACTGGTTGGCTACTACAGGGTGACAGAAGCATCACCAAAGACGCACGCACAAGGAAGACAGAAGCATCACCAAAGACGCACGCACAAGGAGGAAAGCCTCCCAAGCAGCTGAGGAGCCAGCGCAATGGCTCCCAGCCCCTTGAGGCACAGCCCCAGGAAAGCCAGGCCCAGCACAAGCCATTAGAGGGTGCTGAGCTCCACTGGGGAGGACCAGCTGACGTGGCCCACACGAGCCCTGGACCAGGACCACCATGGCCTGCCTGGGGGTGCTGGCTCTGACTTGCTGGCCAGGACATCATGGACCATGGCATCTCATCTGTCTTCTCCCCCTTGAGTGCCTGTCCCCTGAGCTCCCAGGACCACAGCCAAGGGTGCTGCCCTGCCCCGGGGCTGCTGGGGGCTTCGGCCTGCCTGGCCAGTGGGAGACGCCATGCAGGGGCAGGATGTCGTGGTTGTCCCTCGGCTAGCCTTCCCTCAGTCTGGAGTGTGATGTCCAGCCCTTCTAGGCGCACAGGAACAGGAACTTCGCACACAGTCACAGGGATGGGCACTGCGCTCCAGCTGCATGCCTTATCTCGAGGACACGCTGCTTCACCCTTCCAGTCAGCAACAAACTCTGAGCCAGGTGCGCTGGCACATGCCCATAATCCCAGTTCTCTGGAGGCTGAGGCAGAAGGGTGGTGACTCAAAGCCAGCCTAGGAAGTTCAGCAATGCTGGGTGGGTCTCACAAACAAAAAAGCAGAGCTGGAGGTGTAGCTCGGCTACAAATCTAGCATGTGTGAGACCCGGGTTTCACCCCTTGTACTGGGGAAAAAGGAAAAGAAAAAAAAAGAAAGTCTAGCTCCCAGGGTCCCAGGCCGAGGGTGAGAGGAACTTGGCCCTGACGGCTGCAGCAGTGTCATGGGGACCTGAGGATCCCGTTCCCTTCGCTGTCACCCTAACACACAGCAGCTTGAGAAAGAGAAGCCTCCATGAGGTCTTCAGATGCAGGTGGCAGCTGACACCAAGACACACTCACTCCCCTGGCCCCTCAGGCCTGTGATTGTGACACACTGGACGAGCCACATGAACATGAACAGAGGAGGTTCAGGAAGAAACCCTATGTGGTTCACAGCTCAACTAAGCACCTAGGACAGGAAGGGGGTGCAGCGCTGGGGTGGAAGGGCTGGGGGGCTGAAGCAATCAGGTCTTCCGCAGTCCTCACCCCCCTCCCCGAGGTATAGACTCAAGGCTGGTCTCACCCCTCAAGGGGGTTGGAAAGTAAAGGGGCAGCAAATTCCTGTGCTGCACTTTCTCTTTGACCCCACATAGGATGACAGATTGCCGAAAACAAAGATAAGCTTCATGTTTTTGCAAAGCCCTCCCAGCAGGTGAAAGGAGATGCGAAGGTTGAGGGCATGGGTTCCCGGCATGCACCCGTGCACCTCTGCACCATGGTTCTTTTCAGAAAGGGCCTCCCTTGTGTTTGTTACAACTGCCTAAAGCAGCAAGTGGGGGTACGGGGGACCAGGAAGCAGCTTGAGCCACTGCTCAGCTAACAGTGCTCTGCCTCTTGCCTCTGCTGGCTGATCATGGTGCCCTTGCCTCTGGTCCACCCCAGGACCCGGGCGAAGCATAGATATTCTGGGTGAAGGGAAACCACTCAGTGAGGTGGGACACAGCCCCTGCCCCCAGGCTGCCACATCTGGACGGAAAGCCAGCCAAAGCAAGCGCATCCTCAAGAACCAGGCTCTTGGGGCTGAGGAGATAGCTCAGTGGAATAAGCACTTGCCTGGCAAGCTCAGGGGCCTGAGTTCAATCCCGCGTTCCGCCAAAAAAAAAAAACAACAACAAAACAAACCAGGCTCGGGGGCCTGGCCCTAGCTCAGTCTTTAAGTGGCTGCTTCCACAAAGCTGTCAGCCTCAGGTTCCTGGAGTTCGAACCTCACAACTCTCCCGCTGGCCAAAAGTGCCCTGAAGGCATTCGAGGAAGAAAAAAAAAAAAAAAAAAACAAAACCCTTATTCCATTTCCAAACCAGGCTCTCTGCAAATCAGACGGAGCTGCTGCAACACCCTAACACAGAAGCCCATCTCGGGGCAACCTATCTGCCCAGCAAAAAAGGCTCGAGGGGCTGGAAAGGCCACAGAGCTGCAGGGCCAGGACAGCAGACACCTAGCAGTGACTGCGAACAGTGGAGATTGGGAGAAATGTGACTGGACAGCACAGGATCCCAGGCACAGTGGGAGGGCAGGAGACCTTCCAGGAGGTCTGGGGAACTCACGCAGGCAGGGGGCCTGGGGCTGGCCCCTGACAGCAAACCTGAACCTGATAGCCCCTGAACCCTAGACTAGTATCTTTCTGCTGCGTGGAGGCTCTGCCCCCTTTCCCAGGAAGCCACCCTGCCTCTCCTGTCCAGCTAAGGCCTGCACACAGGGCCACCCCAGCAGCACCACTCAAGTAACACTGCTCCCTACACACTGCTCCCTACCCAGTATCCCTGCCCAGCCTCCCCCTCTTCTTCTTTTTTTAAAAAAATGTATTTATTTGTGTGTGTGTGTGTGTGTGTGTGTGTGTGGCCAGCTCAGCCCACCAGGGGGTGGGGCTGGCTGGCATGACCGCGGTCCTTGTGCTTTGCTAAGCTTGTTCTAAGTAAGTGCTTTAGACCACTGGGCCATCTCACCAACCCCACCTCTTCTTCTAAGGTCAAAGTTTCCCCACTTCTGTCTTCTGAAACTGGCCTTAGTTTGCAAATTATTTACTCAGAAACTCTGGAAGGGCAAGCTGGAGTACTTCAGGGAAGAGCTAATCTCCCTGCACTTTAGAGATGAAGCGATAAGGCCCAGAGATAGGTCACAGTCTAAATCCCCATTTCCCAAAAGAAGAGCCTAGCCACTGCGTTCCAGAGCAGCTGACCCAGGTCACCAGTTAGGACTGGTTCAGCCCCCTGGCTGACTTGGAGGATGTCCTTTTACCCCTGGGCCTCCTAATCTTCACCTCCAAAAGGAAGACACTGGTTTTCGGCATTCCCTTGGCCTTGCATTCTAACTAGCCCCTCCACCACTACTTAATGGATTACCCTGCCTCTCCTGTCCAAGGCTGTGTTCCCCCTGCCGGCTAAGGCCTGCACACGGGGCCACCCAGAGGCACCACTGAAGTGACACTGCTTCCCACCCAGTATCCCTGCCCGGCCTCCCCCATCTCCTTTTTAGGTCAGTTTCCTCCTGTTACCCCCCACACCCTGGGCTTCTGGGACTTCTGCCTGTGCCCCAAATCACCTGTCCTTGTTTCTCCACAGCGCGGGCAAGGCAGTCCTCCGCCTGGCTGTGGACCGTGGGTGCCGGGCAGCGCGGGCCAGGCCCCGCGCAGGGCTCAGCCCTGGTCTGGGCGTCCCTGATGCTTCGACAAGCCCCGCCTCCCTCTGACCCCGCTCAGCGCAGGTGACGGCGGGGATGCGCACGCGACACCCAGAGGACCGGGGGTCTGGGCTGAGGCGGGGACAGCCCACGCCCCTGCCACCTGCCCCTCGAGAGCAAGCCCCGGACGCCCCCAGTCCAGGACCCCCGGCCTCCCCGGCCTCGCCCGCGCCCCCCTCCAGCAGGATCCGCCCGCCCTCGGCCCCGGCCAGCGCCCGGCCGCGCTCGCCGCCCCCTCACCCGCCGGGCCTTCTCCCACAGCTGGTTCAGCTTCTCCATGCGGAATTCCTCCCCAGGCTCGCGCGGCGCGGGCGGCGGCGGCTCGTTCTTCTCCCGCGAGTACTTGCCGCCGTGGCTCGCCGCGGGCCGGGGCCCGAGCAGCAGCAGCAGCAGCAGCAGCAGCGGCGACGGCGGCAGCGGAGCCCTGGGCGTCCGGACACCCACCCAGCGCAGCGCCATCTTGCTCTGCCGC